ACAGCTAACGCACCAAAGAAAATACTATATAAAATCTACGACTACCCCTTTACTATTTACCTAATAGAAAACACAGCAAAATCCTTCTGCGGACTTAGAAAAGTCAATACTCTAGTAAGTGCCACTTGTTGCCAATAAAATAAAAATTATCATCCTTCTCTTCTTGGACCAACCTCCTAATATATGGTGGAATTAAAGAACAAAATAAAATACTTCCAGGAAGAAAAAGACTAAATTTCTAAATTTATAATTATGATAATGATTAGTCATTTAGAAAAACTGTGTTTTAATTCTAGCATTTAATAAAACAGCACATTCAATTAAGTATGAATTTTGTTAAATCTTAAGCCATCTAAAAGCATTAAAGAAAACTAATGGCATAAAAACTCCACAGGGTACAGATTTAGGAAGGTGGAGGCATGCTGAAATTTGAGGAGTCTCTAAGAGTCTATTATATTTGTTACAACAGACTGAAAACTGGCAACACGTTTCCATATGACTACCCTAAAATGAACTAAATTATAAGTTTTCACAATGGATTCTGATGGCAATTCTGATATTAGGGATTTGGGGTATTTTTTATACATTTTCAGGGGAAAAAAACAATGCTCAAGGAATATTTTCATCAGAACATTTCATCTGTTTCATTTGTTTCAAGTATAATATCAGCACTTCTGGAAATAATATGACTAAGAGTATAGGAAAGAATTATTCATGGTATTTGGAATGGTTAATTTCATGTATCAAGTTGAATGGGTCATGGGGTGCCCAGATACTGTAACCAGTGTTAAGCATTATTTCCGAGTGTGTCTGTGAGGGTGTTTCTGGATGAGATTAAGATTTGAATTGGTAGACTTGAATTAAGTAGACGGTCCTCCCCAGTGTGGGTGGGCCTCAGCCAATCCTTTGAGGACCTGAATAAAACAAAAAGGCTGAGCAAGGAAGAATTCACCCCTTCTGACTAATGACTGAGCTGGAACGTTGGCTTTCTCCTAACCCTGGACTGGGGCTTACATCATGGCTCTACTAGTTCTCAAGCCTTCAGACTTACACTACAAGTTATACCATTGGCACTCCTGGTTCTCAGACCCTAGAGCTTGTACTAGAACATACAAAATGGGTTCTGGTTCTAGGGTCTAGGACTCTGACCAGAACTACACCACCAGCTTTCCTGGGCCTCCAGCCTACAGATGGCAGATTTCAGAACTTCCCAATCTCCATAACCATGTGAAGCAATTCATTACAATAAATCGTGTGTGTGTGTGTGTGTAGAGCTAGAAATACAGCTAGTTGCATAGGTTGAGGTTACCACATACAGAGAGAGAAGTACATATGCATGTGTGTAGGTGTATCCTATTGTATCTGTTTCTCTGGAGAACCCTAAAACAATATTGTATTCTTGAATTAATATTTGTTTGCAGAGCAATACAAATCAAATAATTAAGTAAAGACAAAATAATGATCCCTTTTTTTTAAATCATTGAAACCTAAAGTTTTAACTTTTAAATCAGTTAGTATACAAATTCTTTATTCATTCTGACAACTTCTTAAAATCAATTAAATGCTGTTCAATTTATAATTTTTAAAGGCCTATCATCAGAGCTTAGTAGCTATTCTGAGTATAATTCTAAAAATACAATGCAGCCTCACAAGGAATGATAAAATAATTTGAAGTTGTTGACTCTGAAACAATAAATATTTTGAAATATTTTGAAACATAAAATTAGCCTTCATCTTAAAAGCCCTTAACATTAATGTGAATGTTTAAAGAGGTCTGTAAGTGGGTCATGAGATATTTGCTCCCAGGCTGAAAATCTGTATACAAGTTGTTCCCTGGAAAGAATTTTCAACCAAAAGTTATAAAAACCAAAAGAAGGATTAATAATGGAAAGTCTGACCTAACATCAGCCTGACTGCTATGATGATATTCTACTCAGCAGTAGAATGATCCTCAGTTCTCAGAGTTTGAATGATCCTTAGTTCTTTCAACTTGAGAGATGCCAATAACCTACTTTTTCTCTCAATTGTGCTTTATGTATAACTAATCAAATTATAAGATGTTGGTTCATACAATCAGGGATTTACTATATCATAACTAACAAAAATAACAAAAATTTTAAATGTCTATCATTTTTCATTCTCTTTTCCAATGCAATACTAGAACCAGTTAAATCTTAATTCAAAATATGTGTTAAGCCACATTTAAACTAAATTTTAACACTGATATATTTCCTAAGCAAATCGTTAATTTAGGACTTTGAAAAAAGACTCAAGAGAGTAATAATTTCACTGAAATATCACTGGCATACAAAACTTATTTATAATCTACAAATGATTATTTTCTACTCATTCAAGTAAACTTGGTTCAGGGTAGTAAAAAGAAAACATGAGAGTCAACAGACATGGATCCAAGATCTGGTTCCACTACTTACACATATAACCTGCTACATGTCACTGAACCTCAGTGAGCATCAGTTTCTTCTTTGTGCAAAATGGAGATGGTGACACTTCCGTGACCTACTTCACAGATGACTCGATAACATAAATTATGAATATATTTTAATAGTTCTGAAAGCAGAGCTCAAATGTAAGAGATTACTGTACTATGACATGTGTGTTATTTGAAAAATACCTATTTGTATATTTTAGATATTAACTAAAAAATAACATCAAGAAAGCCAGTCTGTCATGGATCCCACATGTCCCTGTATGGTCTCACTGAGTACACCAAACTAAAAGGTGCGCTGACCTTGAGCCCCTTCTGTATCTAGTGACCAAGGTAACCACAGTGTAACTTCAGCATAACTGCTCATTTCCTAGGTGACCATTGACACATTTGGTTGCTACTTGCTACAAAAGGTGCTGAGCCCTTAGTCCTATGTTTCTCATCTGCAACTCAACTCCCTGAAAGCACAGCCACCATCCAGGTGCATCACGTCTCACCACGGTACTTGGGAGCAGGAAAACCAGCATTACCTGGACGGATGCTCTAGCTGTTTGTGTATTTTAAAAACTGTCTTGCTCTTATAGCTAAGTCTCACTGCCTACTTTCACACCTATGAAGCTGTGGCAAACCAACCTGCTTGCTTACTTAGTCATTTTCTTTGGGATCTTGTTACTTCATGCATTCGCTATGTGGTTTGGGTTCTTCCTGAAATATCTTGGCGCAAGCAGTATGCTGAGATATGAGATAGACAATAATTTTTTGGAACTCCTCCAAAAGGGTCCAGCTAGAAGACAATGTGGATATAACTATTAAAACAGGAGTCTCCTGAAAAGAAATGGATGGAATCAGCACCAAAGAAATTTGGTCCAGAAACTGAACTATGGGAGCCCCAAATCATACAACTGGTTAAACCAAAGCAGTCTGGTTGAAACCAAAAATGCCTCTACAGATCCAAATTTCTCCATGGAAACTACCGAGGTAAGTCGCAACCTTAGAACACATTACTCCTTCAGTACCTCCACTACCTAACCTTGTGCCCTTGCACCCTGATTTACCAGACTCTGAAGAAAAGGGGGACCAGAGACGGACCCATTCCCAAGGGAAGACTGCAGGGGAAGAAAAGACAGGGTGGGAGACAGAAGTTTTTCTGGCTTTTTTGGATACTGATGCTTAAGTAGGTATCTTGTCAGCTTCTCTTGAAGGGCAGAAGCCACACATTCAATTGGCTGAAATTGCAAACAGAATAAAAGTAGGAGTTCCTGGAACAAGGCAGGTGGGGACATTTGGATCCTTGTTGTGTACTGCTGCCGCTGTTCCTCTCATCGCTGAATGCACACTTGCTATGGATGTCTGGCGTACTGTAGTTGTACTGTAAATGCGCATGAAACCCAGGCGGGCTTTTCTCAGCATGGAAGATGTGCTTGTTGGAAGGGATCGTAGGACAAGTGCATAACAGATTCTCTAGTCAGGCAGTCCTCTCCCATGTTATACAACAAAAACAATATGGAATTCCAGAAGGAAAAAAAAAAAAAGAAATCACCATTTTGATTCAAAACCTCAAGGCAGTAAGAATTTTGAGAGATGTGATATTTCAATAAAATCACCTTGTGTGGCCTTGTGAAAAAGACTAATGGGAGCTGGAGGCCTACAGTGGATTGCCAGCAACTGAGTTCAGTTGTGCCCCTGTTGCTCTGGTTGTTTCCAATACTGTGACTGTGACTGAATCAACTGCACAAACTGAGGACACTGGGTATGCCTTCTTGGCCACTGTTAATGCCTCTCTCTCTCTCTCTCTCTCTCTGCCAGTGCCTCTTTCCTAATCCCTTTGGTACTATAAGATCAGTATCAGTTTACCTTCACCTGCAGGTTCCCCAAGACAGTTTTACTATGTAGCCTCAGGGGTACTTGAATTCCCTTGCTGTTTCCACCAATGCAGTGTGGAAGAAACCCTTTCCCTTCAGGAAAGACTTGGTTCCACTACATTCGTGGTATCATGCTAACTGACAGGCTCAAATAAAGAGCAGGTGGCAATGGCTTTAGAACAAAAACTGACTCACATGAAAGCCCAGGGGTGGTTCATTAATCCTGATAAGACACAGGGACTTGCAAATTCCAAGGCAAATTCTTGGGAGCAATGTGGCCTACCCTGAGTCAGTAAAGGAAAAATTACTCATCCTCTGGCCTCCAGCTACCAAAAAGGAGGCCTGGCAGTAAGTTGGACTGTAGGGACTAGAGATAACATGCGCCCCAACTAGGCTATCCTACTAGGGTTACACAGAACTTCTGGTTCCATAAAGCAGTACAAGTACTGTTCCCTGGCAGGAGAGTTCATGCCCTATGGCAAATGGTCAGGAACTGATCCTTAGCTTTAGCCAATGAGACTATGCAAGCTCTAGAAGATCAGTAGGTCAGTTTAAACTCTTCTTGCACAAGCCACAATGGGTAACACTCTAGCCTTAAACTACACCCTGGCGGAGCAGAATATGTACAAATTAATACCACTAGACAGCAGAACAATCCACATATCCCACAAGAAAGGAATTTAAATGATTACCTGAAATAAGACCTATCAGTACTCTCTGGGGCTTTATTCAGTTGGCTGAATCCAGAATCCTGTGGTACCTGATGGGATATGAAAACTGCAGGTTGGCATCATCCAACTGATAATCATCCTTATTAAGTGTTGCATGAGATCATGTGAATGGATTTGGTCTCAGGATATTTAATCTGAATTGCTGATGGTGTGGCATACTCATGTGAAATTTGACTTCCGCCTATGTTTAGGGCCAAACGGTAGACTGTTAGAAAAGGCTATCTATCATGGGTCCTAAGAGACCCTATACAACCTCCTTACCAAATGCACCAAACTACAAGTACACCAACCAATCCTCTGTCCTTCGGCCATATCTGTAGCTAGTCATGTAGGGCAGGCAACCATAGCATGACTGCAGGGAGGTTGCTTGCTCCCTACCTGATCCCCAGTTAGGGGGACAGGCTTGCTTACCACTTTCTTCCAATGGTGTTGCACCTTTAGCCCTGGGCTCTGACACTCTGACCCAGCTAGCTCAATGAAAGCACAGCAACCATCCAGACCCATCTTACTACTCCATGGGACTTGTGGGCAAGAGAATCAGCGTGATTATGCCGATGCTCCTACTGTTTGCTGTGCTACAATGAACTGTTTTGCTCTCATCTCTGAGTCTCACTGTCTACTTTCAGGCCTACAGAGCTGCGGCAAGACATCCTCCTTGCTTGCTTTGTCATTTACTTTTCTTGGTACTCCTTGCCAACCTGCATGATGGCCAGGAATAACAATACTAAACAACAACACAGTAACAACTTGTTCTATACACAGTAGGCCAGCATTTCAAACCATTAAAAGAAACTTAAAAGTAAGAGAAAGTTCAACAAGTCAGGATATTTACTTTGATGGATTCAATTTTTGATTTCACCAAACATCACAATCGATAATGCCTTAACATCACCTGAATGCATTACCAAACAGAAAATTAAGTAAGCAGAAAGATAGTATGTCAATAGCTAAGGAAATCATTTCAATTCTATCCTTTCACAAGTAAAAATAATTTCCACTAATCATTTTACTGTTCTAAACACACTTATCACAAGCTTTTTTTATTTTTTTTTTTGCAATTTTTAATGCTAATTTTTATTTACTGCTAACTGTGCAATGACACCAATTCAATACTGTGCAGTAAAACAGTTACATAAATCCAATACCAAACAATAGCATATGGGATAAATCTAAAGCAGAGCACCATGTGCCTTCAAAACTGATTAATATCACAGAACATAACTCAGTTCGGACAATTAAGAAACCTGAAAAGCTCTCTCATTTAATATTTAATTATCCAGAAGCAATTGTTCTTGGTTTTGTTTTTTATTTCCTAGAAAAAAGTGAAAGTTATTCCAATTTTGCACGGTTTAATATGATGTGTGACATCTGAACCAAGGAAGTAGTTTGTATGATTTATTCCTCTTATCAACTGGAACCATCAGCTAATACAAAGTTGACAAGCTGGCTGACAGGAAAACAGCTGAATGTAATGCAATATGCTCAACATGGAGCTAGCTGTACATCCATCTCAATTTCTTTATCCACTTGTTTAAATACAATGAACATTAGAAAGGTGATCTAGTAACATAAATCTTCCAGCTAGTTAATCTTGCAGCATAGATTATCTCTTTCCTGCACTGCACTCCTTTGAGATAAGGTCATCTGCTAGGGCCAAGATACTGTGTACATGTTTTTAAAAAGAAAATGCTATAGATTTTCATTTTCACTTTCAATATTTCAGTATGCACCCACTGGTACAGCCTCAGGAAACTGAAATCAAAATTACATCTGGAAGACGACCAGCAACCAATCACCAAACTGAGTAAGTCCTTCTTTTAACAACACATAATTTTCTTATGCAAACTCTGTTGAAACAAATAACAATACTACCTTTCTCCTTTCCCTGGCCCCTTTCATCCATTGTTATTCCCTCACCAATATGTAGTTAAGACTTAAATACCTATCATACAATGTGCAGAAAACAATTGCAGTTCAGACTATATGAGGAAAGTATCTGTTTTCTTACTAAATTCAACAACTTTCAGCTTTCTAAGGCCGTTTCCCTGGGTGACACTTGAGTTAGCATGAATGCATTGGTCTCAATTTTTAAGAATACAAGAAAAAATAAACACATAAATTAACCTATACTTCACATGTGTTGCTCACAGGTATGTTTTGTACTCAGTACAACACTCTCATTAGATTAGTGTGAGAAAAATTTCAGAATAATAGTCTTTAATGTTTAAATCAGTTTGGGCACATTAAGAAAAAGAAAAGGCACATTTAAAAACGAAAAAATCTCTTTGAGGCATGCTCCTATTATATCTATAGTATCAAACTTATTCCCACCACTCCAGGAGATGTCAAAAGGTCACTCTACAAAACAGTAAACAATAATAAAAGTAGCTTCTAAATCCATCATACCCTGGGGGGATGGGGAGAGCAACGTTTTCCAAGAAAGGAAACATAAAAATCAGCCACAGTGTTCAAGTTTTGTGGAGAACCTGATCAGTAAGGTAAAGCCAAAATCATACATGCTAAAAACCCAGAATTAGTTGTTAGGAAGGCAATTTAGCTGTCACCTTAACACATTTAATGCATAGAGGGCCACAAAATTAGGATATATAAAAATAAAACAATCACAGCTGATTTGGAGGAAGGCCCTGGTAAATTTATTTTTAAGTCAAAATGCACAATGGGAAGCAAGTCAGTATAATTATAGATCAAATCTCCTAATATAATATATCTTTTCCAATTTTTGCCAATTCACATACCACACCACCTTTTTCTTCTATTGTCTTCAGGCCCACTCAGTTTGTGTTTTAATTTCATTGACACTGACATCTTGTTGTTATCATTGTTGCCATATTGTTGTGTTGTGCCGTGTGTATACATGCTTTAAAGTTGGTAAAGCTACTTTAAACACAAACCAAATTTAAGAATTCTTAAGTCCACCATTAGTCACAAATCATCTAGATTTCTGAATGATCTAGAACAATAATGCAACAGCTCTATAAATATCCAAGTGATAAGGGAAATCTGTGTCCTAAGATGGCCAACCCAGCGAGCAAGGGAGTCCCAGCCCCTACCCCGGGGCTCTTCCAGGTTCTTCTCTCTGCTCCGCTTCCCATGCGCACCAACCCGGGTTCTTCTCCCTGCCCCGCTTCGCGCACATGCCAAGAGTGCCCAGTATGCAGAAGAAGTGTATAAATTACCCCCTTTGTTTGTGCTTGGGTCCCAAACCTTTGGAGATCACTCTCCTCGGAGCCTGCCGGCGTTAAATAAACCTCCTATCCTCCAAGATCTCTGAGTGCCACTTGGTTCTTCCATCAGGCGATCCATTCCAAGTTCTGTAACATTTGCTTGCCTGACCGGGAAACCCAACTGCGCTGGCCCATTGTTGCCATGGTTTGGGGGTAACGGCGAGGCGGTGCCCAAGGAGAGATCGTTAACGGAGAAGGCGCGCCCTGTTTCGGCAGTCTTCCACCCCGGTCGCCTCAGGCAGGCCCCACTCTGCTGTTCCTGCCCGACTCGAGGAGACTTGGCAGGCGAGGACCTGGTCCCAGTGTCGGATTCCGGTAAGGCCTGGGGCCCCAGGACCCAGATAGGCCCACCCATTGGGGTGGAAGGGGAGCCTGATCACCTCCCAGAGACCTCTTAGAGGTCTCACAGGTAGGGATTCCCAGGGGAGCGAATGTAATAACTTCTGGAGTGAATGTGTGAGTGAATGTGTAGTCTGACCTGGCTTGCTCAAGCGGACTGATTCGGTGACTCCATGGGCAGGCACCCTTAAGGTCCCCAGAAGTCTACAGAGTCTGAGTGGGCCCGTCTGCGATTCCGTGGTGAACAGCATACAGTCTATGGCGGCATCAGAATAGCTTCCAATTGTAAGTCACGACACTAAGACCACTACGGCTAAACCTCACCTAAGCTCTTTCTGGACATGGCCAGATGGGCATCTGATTGGTCTCTGCACCTCAGGAGGCACCCCCCCCTTTTGTCTGTCTCTGTGACACCACACATAGGGACATCACCATGGGGTCAGGGCAGAGTAAACATACGGTTCTAGAGACCATGATCAAAAATTTGAAGAAGGGGTTTTTGGGGGACTATGGAGTCAGGATGAACCCCGGCAAGTTGAGAACCCTTTGTGAACTGGAATGGCCCACCTTTGATGTCGGGTGGCCTTCAGAAGGGACATTGGATGTCCCAAAGATTTGTTGAGTATGGCGAGTCGTAACAGGAGAACCAGGACACCCCGACCAGTTTCCGTACATTGACTCCTGGCTAGGAATTGTTCAGACCCTTCTCCCCTGGGTGCGATTCACTTGCAATAGGCAGGGACAGGCCAGGGTCTTAATCTCCTCATCCAAGCGGCCTAAAGAAAAGCAGCAAAAGCCCCAGTCGCTACAAATCCTAGCCGGAGATCCCAAGGAGGAACCGATCCTGCCCCCACCGTTAAGTACCCCCAAGACGGTCTACACCTGGCCCTTCAGCTCCAGACACTCTGCTGCCATCGGTTTCACCAGCATCCCACAGGCCCAGAAGATCCATCGGCGCCCCCAGGCCCAAAGATCCACTTTCTCCAGGACCAGCAGACAGGCTGCGCCCTAGGCCGGGTGCAAGTGCACTCCAAATGCCGGTCTGAGAGACGCAGGAACCCGAGAGGCACGATAAAGACGGGACGGTCCAACCCAGCTGTTCCATTATGTATTATCAGCCCTTCTCCACCACCGACCTCCTCAACTGGAAACATAACACCCCATCCTACTCTGCGAAACCACAGGCTATGGTAGACCTCATAGAATCCCTCTTCAAGATATATCGGCCAACCTGGGAAGACTGCCAACAGTTACTCCGCACCCTGTTTAACACAGAGGAAAGGAAGAGAATAGTAAAAGGTGCACGGCAGTACCTGGAAGAGCACGCACCAGCAAGAGTCATCAACCCTGCTGCCTGGGCTAATACGACCACACCTGAAGAGCGCCCAGCATGGGACTTCACCACAACTGAGGGACAGGCCCACATCCGCTGGTACCAGGAGGCC